GCCTTGCTTAATCCCCCAGGTTGGCCTCAAACCTGTGATGACAGCCATCCAGGCAGTTAGGGATTATAGGCATGGACATGCCATGCTAAACTTGGGTTATTTTCACTTTGTAGGTAGTGTCATTGCTGCTACTATGGAGCCTTGATATGCAAATACACCATCTACTTGCGTAAATAAAGTTTTATAGGAACAAAACCCTGCTCATTTATGGATGATCTATGGCTCCTTTCCTCTATGAGGACACACAGAGTTGACTGTGTGAAGAACAACCCGCAAATGCTATCTGGCCCTTTACAGAAACTCTGATGACACTTGCTGTACAGGATGGGATTTTACTTAGAGAAGACGATTAAGATGTGGTGGTAATTTATCTATTGGGAACAACTTCTGACAGTGAACTTACTTAACAGGACTCACTATCAGCAGGTCTTTAAAACAAGTTAGATTTATCTTGGAAATGGAATCAACATGGTGAGGTAATGCATCAGGTGGTGAGGAGGAGCATTTCTGGCAGGTGTTTCTTGGAGGATGGCGTCGCTTGTGGAGGGTGCACAGAACATCTGGAGACCTCCGGTTCTGGACACCCGGGCAACTGAGTGGACAGCCCTCCAGAAGGCACTGAATGCCAAGTGTGGGTAGAAACACACAGACTATGTCCATTACCAAAGAAAACCACATGAGTATCTACTGCAGGAGCACAGCCAGGCACAGCGGCGCACACCGGTAAGCTCAGCACCAGCTACACAGTTCAATGTCCTCCTGAGCTGCATAGTGAGACCCTGTCAAAAAGACAAAACAAAAAACAAAAAACGAAAGCTGTGTGTGGCGGCACATGCCCGTAAGCCCAGTGTGGCAGGAAGGTTGCCGGAATGGCTGCACTGTGAGTTCAACACCTGAGTGAGCAGCGAGACCCTGTCTCAAGCAACAAAAACCTCCCCTCCCAAAGTTCCACTGCAACGGATTTCTGTAGCCAGCGTGATGAGTGAGTGAGTAAATCAAGTTACTAAAACACACTGAGCAATGCAAATTAAGGCCACTCTCAGAGTTCCCACTTGGCGTTTGTATACGGAGCACTGCAGATCACACTCAGGGCCCTGTGCTTGCCAGACAAGCTCTCTACCACTGCGCGCCAGCCCGGCACCGCAGAATTCCTACGCGGAAGAGCGCGGAAAAAAAATCTGCAGCACTACGGAGTGCAGCGCAGGCATCGTCTTGGGAACTGCAAGCCCAAATGGTCACTCAGCGCTGAACTGGCGCAAATGACCTGGAACTAGAGCAAAGCCCGAGACTGGGAGGTGTGAAGCTATAAAATCTAACAGCACCGCCTACGAATGGGGAAGACAGCTAACTCATAAACATTCCGTTCCTCCAGATGGTGCTATCCAAAAGGTAAAATCAGTGTGTAAATAGTCTCTGGCCTGGCCCTGTCTCCCAGCCGTTCTGTTCCCTTCTGTGCTGCCAATGCAATCATCGCTCCCAGCGCAATGAGAGGCGAAGCAGGAGTCTGAGAACCGTCTACAGTCGAGAAGCCGTAACTAAGCACTCTGGCCCATGGAAAAGCTGGAGAGCTCAGAGATCCAGAGAAGCAGAGAATGCTGCTCCTGTGCCTTCCATCCTCCAACTCAGCAGGTCTCTTCAGCGTTGGTCAACGTTCAACAAGAAGCACTGAAGAAAAATTCAACATCCCCCTTCCTCCGTCTGCCAGAACCCTCCTTCCATGTGCAGGTGAGAGGAGCTAAGCACCTGCAGGTTGAAGCACATGGGGCAGGCTACAGATTCCTGTGGCCACCACACTATAACCAATCTGGGGGCTCTGAACAACACAACCAGGCAGGTAGAGTGGCACACACTTGTAATCCCAGCATGCTAGGAGGCTGAGGCAGGAAGGATGATAAATTTAAGCCTAGCCTAAGCAATTTACAGACTTAGCAAGACACTATCTCAAAATAAGTAGAGCGGATGAAGGGAGGAGAATGAGGAATAAAGAAAAAGCAAGACATATCAGGCACAGGTACAAATTCCCTATGAGGAATGTGATTATGTATATCTAAAAGGTACCAGTAAAATAGGGGGTTTGGGAGATGTAGCTCAGTGCAAAGCCCTTGGGCTCCATCCTCTGCAGCTACCCATGAAACCAAACCGCCACCCACGGCTGCGGCCTCCTCCCGCTCTGGAGGCCAGTCTCCTCAGTGCCCCCTGTGGCCCCCAGGACACTGCACTCAGGGGCCCCGCTCCTCACCAGAACTAGAATCAGGGTCTCCTGAGCTACTGGATTATTCAGCTTCCCACACATGACTCACACAAACCAGAGACCTTCAGTGGGGCTGGGGATGTGGCCGAGCACGAGAGACTGCTTGTCCAGCACGTCTGAGGCCCCGGGTCTCATCCCTGGCACCACTAACAACAATCAGAACCCCAAGTATGATTTCTAAGCCAAACCTAACTCATGCGTAACAGCCATGCTGAACTTGTTACTGTAGTGCACTGAATCTAACAGATTTTTCATCCTACATTTTATACCTCTGAAACTAAGACTTTAGCAATTAGATGAGATCAAGTACTACAGCATTCTCCACCAGGCTTTAATGTTCTAAACAATGTCAAGCTTTAAGAAAGAAAACTACAGCAAGTATGTAAGGGACTTAGAAAATTCTGAATCTTCAGGTAGGTTGCATTTCAAGCTTTTCATCAGGCCTCTAAAGACAACACTGAAATCTGACACCACACTGGCTAAAAAAAAATCTTTTTTTGACACTAATGCTGTGCATTACTGCCACTCAGGGGTCCTCTCCACATACACAGCAGCTTTCCTGTTCTGTCTTTGCCACAGCAGGATCCACACGAGTGCTCCACCGCGGAGCACACACATCCCAGCCCGAAGCTCTTCGCTTTCTCATTTAGTCCCACAAAGAGCCTGGCTTTTTCCTTCGATGGTTTTCCACATGTTGGTACCAGATAAATATAATATGGTTTCTTTTTCCATCTCCATGGCCAGGCAGCTTCCTTTTTGTTTGGGTTTTCCATTTTTTATCAATTTACCTATGTATGTGTGTATGTACATATGGCTGGCTGGACGTGCACGTACGTGAGCTAGACATGGTCTCTCCACACCTTTCACGCTGAGATGCCAACTGTGCTGTAGCAATCCTAACTTACTTCTGGCAAAATCAACATTATCTACCCACCACTGCCACCACTTAAAGCTTCTAGTGAAATGGGAGCGTGCTCAGGACGTGGGACTCTCCGGGAAAAGGCAAAAACCAGACCTGACCTCCCGGGCATGGTGGTGCACACCTGGAATCCCAGTACTCGGCAGGCTGACACAGGGAGATCACCAAGAGTGTAAGGCCAGCCTGAACTACAAAGCGAGACCCTGACTCAAAAGCCAAAACAAAACTATACAAAACAAGAAAAAAATCAGACATGACTTTACAGAAAGGATGCCATCATTTACAAAGCACGAAACCCTAAGGTTCTGAAGAACTGAAGTCTCCTAAGTTCTACAGCAGCACAGCACAGTGAGTGGTGTGCTGGCAATTTCCATCTAGGTCAACTTGTACGGTCTGCACCCCCCATGCACAATACCCCTTTTCTACTTACACTGGAATAAACCAGAAGAGCGCATTTTAGATTTTTAGTCCACGGGGGCAGCACACCATGCTTACACTCCTTGTGCGGAGCTGGCGCGTGCTCACAACACACCCCACCCCAGCTCTCCACCCCTCCTCTCCTTCAAGCTCTCCTCACTTCCTACTACCTTTTCTTTTGCTTTTTACTTCCACTTTGGGTTTCTCCTAAGAAAGGAGGTGACTCGAGCGTGTGCGTCTGGCCTGTCAGAACGTATCTGCTGTAGTCATGATTCTCTCTCACAGCACAACACCCATGCGTTTGCTCAATCACTCATCCAGAGCGCTGCTGAGTTCCGTGGTCTCCAGCAGAAGGGCCAGCACAGCAGGCTCCCCTCCCTTCACAGCAGCGCAGCCCGCCCCTGCGCCCCGTCTTTGAGGGAGCTACCCCACACGAGAAGCAGCCACCAGTGTCAGGTCTGACCGCGTGCAGTCCCCATGTCTAACGGTGTCTGACGCCATCCTGCACGGCTGGTGGTAAGGCTGTCGCCGGAGGGCTGGGATGTGGCCCAGTGGAGGGCACTGGTACACCCGGCCCTGGGCGCGGTCCTGAGAGCAGGCAGGAAGGTGAGGGAGGAAAGAAGGGACTCGCAGCTTCCTTGCACCACACCGTCGCTTGTGAATTACAAGGTCTGTGTTATAAAGACTGGAAAGGGGAGCTGGGTGTGTGGCTGAGTGACAAAGCCCACGTTTAACTCCAACGTGCAAGAAATGACTGCAAATAACTTCCGGGACCCCTTCTTCCGTGATTTTACAAAAATTCTAAGGTCAGAAGATAGGACAGATCAAGGTCACAGTGTCCTGTGGGGAAGAAATACAATGCTGTAGTAACCACGACTCCCTGCAACCACCGGGCTCTGAGGGTGGGGGCTGGCAGTGAGCTGCGTGGAAGGGCACTTGCCTGGCTTACGCAGGGCCTTGGCTTCCCTAACCTCAGCTCGGGGGCAGGGTGTACATCAAAAAGCTGAACCCGAGGGCTCTGACGAACCTGATGTGCGGCTCTCCTTGTGCACTGTCACTGAAGACCACTGCACAGAAGGTGGCATAAACCCGTAAATCAACAGAGCAGTCAACTAACATCCAAGATCTCCCTATCTCTTCCTAAGGTTCTGCTAACAGTAACAATTGTTATTTTTAACATCCAAGTCATGTTCTGGACACCAGACATTTACAATATACAAGGTTTAATGGCCAGGCATGGTGGTATACACTTGTAATCCAGCACTTGGGAAGGAGGCTGAGGCAGGAGAATCACTGCAAGTTCAAGGCCAACCTGGGCTACATAGGGAGTTCAAAGCCAGCCTGAATGACATGGCAAGACCTTGTTTCAACCTCCCACCTCCCCGCAAAAAAGTTCACTGAAGCTACACCCACCTGCAATCCCAGTACAGCCTCTGGGAGGCTGACGTAGGAAGGATGCTAGATTCTAGTCCAGCCTGGGCAACTTAGTGAAACCCTGTCTTAAAATCTTAAAAAAAGGCCCAAGGATGCAGCTTAGTGCAACAGCCTTAGGTTCCAGCCTCACTATTGAAAAAAAGAGGAAAAAACTAATGTTCACTGTACACTGTATTTACAAATAACCTGTTATGAGCTCTAACTTTCTGGACTTAGAAAAGACCAAACCTGCAGAACAGACTTCAAAATCAATTAGAAATCCCTTTCGCAAATGACCAGGAGTTTGGCATCAGTGTTTTTTTATTTTTTAATTCACTCTCTTCCTAAAGCCTAACATGCTAGTCTAAGCAGGAGAAAAGCCCTGACCTTTTTCTTATTCAGATTTTCCCCTCAGGACAAGGTGGCTGTTGCCAGGGAAGCGGGGAGGAAAGGTCAACAACCCTGAGGTCTAAGGGCACAGGAGCGCAGCAAGCTGAGGCTGCTCTGCAGGTCAAGGGTGGACGTGATGCCTTGGGAGGGCTTTTCTGGCATCACTCCATGGAAATTTACCATTAGGGTTATCTATACTTAGAGATAAGCAGCAAAGGAAGAGATAAAATACCCCTGAGAAATGGCAAATGGTCACGACTTGGTTTTCTTTGGCAAACCGGAATTTTCTGCATGTACAAAACAGAGAATTTTAAATACATCTTGATTTTCTTCCAATTTACTGATTTAAAATCAGTGTTTTTTTCTTTAAATGCTCAGCTTTTGATATTAGCTCCCCTATTCAACCCAAAGGTTGGGTTAAGTAGTCTGGTTTATAATTAGCTGCACAGGACAGTCGCTCCCACCTAACAGTAAGGAATACCTGGGGATATACTTGACACTGTGCCCTGAACATTAAGTGTTTATTAATCACATATAAGGGGAAAAACCCAAGTAAGCAGGGGGTTACTACAGAAAACGTAACTCACTAGGAATATTAAAGAAAATAGTTCTTTTTTTAAACATAGTTTAACTGTGATTAAACACTGAAACATGTTTAGGTTGAGGAGGCCTTAATTTTCTTATCTGCTAAAGCAAGTAGAGTTCCTTCCAAATTATCTACATGATGAAATATTATTCAGTCATAAAAATGAGGTACATGCTACAACCTGAAGGAACTTTGAAAATACGAAAACCCAGACACAAAGGGCCACATAAGATGTCTGGAACAGACAGGCTTAGTGACAGATGCCAACAATCCCAGCTACTCTGGAGGCTGAGGCAGGAGGCACACAAGTTCAAGACCAGTCTGGGAAACTTAGCAAGACCCTGCCTCAAAATGAAGAGACAGAAAGGGCCAGGGCTGTCACTCGGTGTCCTCTGGTTCCACCTCGGTGTTTGCACTGAACCAGTTCAAGCCACAGAGACAGAAAGCTGGGTGCCAGGGGCTGGATGAAGGGCTGCGAGGCGACTGCTGACAGGTATGGAGTTTCTTTCCTGGGAGATGAAAACTTCTGCGATTAGATAGGAGCTGCTGCTGCCCAATCACCAGATTTTTTTTTTTTAAGAAAGTACGCAGACTTCTCAGCGTCCTTTTGGGTCTAAACTCTTCTACACGGAACTACCAGGCTCCCTTGTTTCTGTCTCATCCAAAAGATGCTCACCATGGAGAACTGTCACCCCGCTAAGTTCAAGAATGCACACAAGCAAAGCACAAAAATCCAAGTATTTGGCTTCTGCCAACATGCTGACTCCACTAAACTATCAGTGATCTCTTAAACCAAGAGACGCCACGACCTAACTAGAACCTTGAAAATACCCCATATGAGGGGGGTATGCTGGCCCACAGCTGCAATCCTAGCACTTGGGAGGTGGAGGCAGAGGCAGGAAAACTGCTCTGAGTCAAGGCCTGGGCTACATAGCAAGACCCTGTCTCAAAAAACACACACACAGAAAAAAATAGAAAGAAAAAAGAAAAGAAAAAAATTACTCTGTAGGTACAATTTTTAAACATTTTTAATTTTTTTTTTGAGACAGGGTTTTCCTATGCAGTTCAGGCTGGTCTTAAACTATGTAACCCGAGATGGCCTCAAACTCAGGGCAATCCTCCACTCTTGACAATGTACAATTTTTTAACAAGAACTTCAGGTAACTAAACTTGGGGCTTACGCAAAACTGTGGCACACGCCTGTAATCTCAGCACTGAGGAGGCTGACGCAGGAGGACCACTGTGAGTTGGAGGCCAGCCTGAACTACATGGAAGACTGTCTCAAAAAGCAAAGCAAACCAAAAAACCTGTGGTTTGACAGCTCATCCCCGTATCTAAGGGATTTAGTGAACAACAATGTAGCTGAAAATTCTCTTGCCTAAAACCAAATGAGATGGGGGACGGAAAAGCAGTTAAGGCAGTGCCCACACCTCAACACACACACAGTAACAACATCTAGCCTAACGGTCGGCATCGGTGCTTTCACTTATCACGTGTCATCTTATTTCAGCTTTGACGATAGGAAACTTCACAACCTAACACGAAATACTTGTCTTTGGTAATAATTCTAATCCACAAGAACAAGGAAGGGGTTAATTGACCACAAAACACATCTTAGGAAACAGGCCACCCTATGTTACTGCCACCGAGTATTTAGGACCACACCTACTGAGCACTCTAACAACTAAACACTTCCAAAAAATTACATTAAAATAACCCCGAACTGCCCGGTGTAATCCCAGCACTAGGGAGGCTGAGGCAGGAGAATCACTCTAAATTCTAAACCAATATAGGGGACAAAGAGAGTTCAAGGCCAGCCTTAACTACATATATAAAGAGACCCAGTCTGAAATATAAATAAAAAAAAAAACTCTAGACTGTATATCCTAATAAGCAGCACCTACCAGAGGAAACAAAAGTAAACGCTGACTTAATTGTACATTAACCCACAAGAGTTAGGCTCCCTCAGACTTTCTCCTCTACCCGGCTGACTTGACACCCAGCACTTCATCAAGTAAAACTACACACTAGCAGGTTTCTGGGTCTGGAAAACTCGGTCAGCACTTCGGTAACATTACATGCAGAGCACATAAAATATACGGGAAAACCAAGGCGACCATATCGTGAGCTAAGTTTAGCGCCCAATGGTTAACACACTTTTGCCTGAGTGCCTCAATTCAAAGGGCACCCTGAGCAAATGCCGTGTCCGGGTTGGCCCGGAACACGCAATTCACCTGCCTCGGCCTCCCAGCAGCTGGGACGGCAGGCGTGGACACCACGCCCCGCCCGGCAATCCGCGGACGCTCAAAGCTCACAGGCTACTCGGGGGCTCCATCTCGTTCTAAGGACTTAGCAAACGGCTTTCAGTGACGAGGACGGGCTCCGGCCGCGGCGGCAAGGCCGGCCACCGCGGCGCGGGGC